TTGCAATACTTTTATATATTTTAGACCAATAGTATTTGTTTTTAGCATGATTATAAGTTTCATCAATGCCAAAATAACTAGCAAGAATGTCAGAATATAATTTATATAGAATAGAATATAAGTCAGACTCCTGAACTACATGTAATAACTTTTGTAAAGATCTTTTTGGTTTCCGGTATAGTTGATTGTTTTTAACAATATAATGTGTTGCTTGTTTTTTAAATTTTTGTTGTTCTTTTAAAGTTAAGTTTAGGAGTAATTCTGAAGTTGTTAAATAATTACTAAAGTTGGTATAGAGTGTTTGTTCTATTGTGGTTATTAAGTTTTAATGTTTTCCTTAGGATGGATTCTTAGGGAGACGAGAAAGAGCATCCACATTAGAATAAAACTGTTCTTTTTAATATATAACAGTATAAGGATAATCAGCAATTCATTGTATTCATCAAGTTATTCATTTAGCAGGATTAAGTTAATTTAGTAACTATTTAAGAGCAGAATAATCAGTTACTAATTCAAAAGGTTTAAGATAAATATAAGATCAAAAATATTCCATTCTCCATACTGCAGTAAGATATTCAATTTCAGTAGAAGTAATTAATTTTAGCAGAATTTAAAGATCTGCTAGCATATACTACAACATATTCATTGTTGTTACTATCTTTTTAAGTCAAAATAGTATCCAAACCCTAATAAGAAGCATCAGTAAATAGTATAAATAGTTTTTCAAAATCAAAATATTAAAGAATAGGTGCAGTGATTAATTTTTCCTTTAGGATATCTATTGCTTGTTAACAAATTTTAGACCAAATAAAAGAAGTATCCTTTTTTAACAACTTGTTTAAAGGTTCAACAATATGTAAAAAGTTAAGAATGAACCTTTGATAATAAGAAGCCAGACCAATAAAACCTTGAAGTTCAGTAAGCTTAGTTGGTGCTAAATAGTTTTGTACTTTATCATTTTAAATAAATCAGGTAAAATTCCATTTCTACTAATAATATGTTTAAGAAAGGCTAGTTGTTGTTTTTTAAAACAATATTTCTCCTTTTCTAATTTTAATCCAGCATGTTGAAAACATTTAAAAACTTCCTTTAAATGTTCTAAATATTCTTCAAAAGTTTTTAAATAAATAGTAATATCATCAAGATATACTAAGATAAATTTATTTTTAAAGTCAAAAAAGATTTTATTCATTACTCATTAAAAAGTAGCAGATACATTAGTTAGACCAAAGGGCATAACATTAAATTCAAACAAACTATATTTAGTAATAAAGGCAGTTTTTTCACAATCCTTAGGTTTCATTTTAACTTGCCAATATCTACTAGTCAAGTCCAAAGTAGAAAACTATTTAGCACCTTTAAGAGTATTCAAAATTTCATCAATTCGTGGTAGTAGATAAACATCACATTTAGTAATTTTATTAAGCTTTCTGTAATCAATACAGAGCCTTAATTTCTCATTTTTCTTTTTGACCAAAACAACAAGTAAAGACTATGGACTTTTTGAAGAAAATATAAGTTCATTTTTGAGCATTAAATGAAGTTCCTGTTAAATAAATTCATGTTTAGCTAAAGACATATAGTAGGCCTTTTGGTAAATAGGTAGTACATTTTCAGTAATAATTTGATGTTGGTCAATAGTTGTTTTACCTAAATCATCTATTCCTTTAGAAAACATATAGTTATTATCAACTAAAAATTGTTGTAATTGTGGATTATCTATTGAAGAAACATTAGTTTTCTCTAAGTCTTTCTTGTTTACAAAACAATTTATTATTTCCTTTACTTGTAAACATTTGGAACAATTTTTTTGTGACTAAGCACAATAATATTTCTTTTTTTTAGGATCACTTGTTTGTTGTAAATAAAAGTTATAATTATTAAAAGATTTATTTTTATATTTAACCTGAATATTATTAATTTCAAGTATAGGTTTTTCATTAGAATTTCCTATAACTAAGAATCCTTTAGATTCCTCTTTTTCATTATCAGATAATTTGTACTCATCCTTACTAATTTTATCAGAATTAGTTTTAGAAGATAAAGTTTGATTGTTTAAGTCAGTAGACGTATTAGAGTTATTTATAAGGATAGGCTCATCATTATTATATTGTAGCTTTTCCTAACAAGTAATAGGTAAAATATAAAATTTGTTTTCTCAAGTAAATTTTAATTGTCTCTTTTTTAAATCAATTATACTCTGAACTTTGTTAAGCCAATCAACATCAGCAATCATATTATATTCTTGGGCATCATTCACTTTTACATTAACAGAAACAATAGTGTCAGATATTTGTAGTAGTATATTATTAATTGTTCCTAATATTTGTTTTTTTCACTATTAATATCAAAAAAATAAATATTAGAAGGTTTTTCAATAAACTGGTTAATTTTATTAGCAAAAACTTTTGATATTATGCTACTAAGTGATCCTGTATCCAAGATTAAATAAAATAGTATATTAGTGATACTGGCATTACAATATACTATGTCTACAGCTTTCTTGTATTTGGGGTTTTCCTCAGTAGTCATCAGTGAGAGTGCTGACTTTAACTGATTTTGATTATTATTATTAGTGTTCTTTAAAATATGTGATTGTTTATTTAAAATATGAAAATTATTTAATAATATTTTATGTTTATTTGTTAAAGTAGAAGATAATATTTGAGATAAAAAATTTTGTTAACAAGCACTACTGCCCTTACAGCATGCCTTTAAAAGTTTAAAAACTGTGCTAAGGTTTGAATAAGACCTTGTAAATCTTTAGCAGAAAGAGAATAATATGTAGAATTAGTATTTTAATTATTTGTAACAGGAGAAGTTTGTTGTGATTAAAAGTTATTTCTAACAGAAGGAGTTGGTTGTGTTTGAAAGTAATTTCTTGATTGTCAATAGTTATTATTATTTGTTTGATTATTATTATTAGCCTGGTTGTTGTTAAATCGAAAATTTTTTCTATTTTGATTATTATTTTAATTGTTGTTAGGTTGGTTATTTTGTTGAGTATTATTGTTTTGAAGACTATAACATTCCTTAGCAACATGTCTATAATAATTGCAAAGCTAACAATAAAGTACTAGAGGATTGTTTGAAGTAGAACTATTAAAGCAATTGAAATTATTATTATTATTTTAAGATTGGTTACCTCAAGGCTGATTGTTTTGCTTTAAAATATTTTTAAAATTTTTAATATTATTGGTCATTTTTATTAGAAGTTGGTTAAACTTGGCTATTCCTTTATTATTAAATTCATTTTCTTAATTTAGATATCCTTTTCATAAAGAATAAGCTCCTAAAAAAAGTTCTTTAGAAAAAGCAAACTCAATAGCTTTAGCTTTTTGAATAGTTTGACCAAGAGTTTCAGAACAAGCTATTTCAATATATTGAATTTTTTCACATAATTCATCAATAAATTGGCATAGTTTATCAGTTTATAGATAGGCATTTTCAGGATCAACTTTTCAGTAAAAGTGATCAAGATCAGCATAATATTCATCAACTGTTTTATCTATTTGTTGTTTTTGACTACAAAGATAAGCTATTCATCAAGATTGTTGATATGAAGTACAAAAGTTTTGTAAAAAGGCATAAACAAATGAATGATTAGGATGGTTATTGTTGTTTCAAAATTCAAGTTAAGTATTAACAGTATGCTACTAAGAAGTTGCAGAACCTTTTAGATAAACAGGAAGAATGTTTAATATTTGATCCTCCTAAATATTATTTGCTATACAAGCATCTTCAAAGTTCTCAATCTATTTAACAGGGTCCTGTTCTCTTTCTTTAAAAGTAGGCAATTTGGTAAGTTAAGTTTTCTTTTGTCCTTCAGCTAAAGCATTTATGAGTCAGTTAAAATGATATAATGTTTGTTGTCCTTCCTAAAAATTTAGTATAAAATTAGCAGAAAGATCACCAAAATCATGTATTCTTTGATTATCATTATTGTTGTTATTATTATTAGGAACATTTTGGTTATCAGCATCATTATTATTATTGTTATCCTTTTAGTTGTTAGTTTGTAAAGGCACATTAGTATTGTTGTTGGTTTGGTCAGTATCAACTGTCCAAGGATTGGTTCGAGATGTTTCAGCATAAGTATAATAGACTCTTCAAGGTTTGTTTTGAGGTCAAATAACAGGATAAAGTTGGTTTTCTTTATCACCAGAACTTTTATCATTATTAGCAAAATTGTATATAGTAGTCATATTAGAAGTTACAATAGTAGAATTAGAAGAATTAGAAGAATTATAGCTAATTGGTTTAGTTTGTGTAAAACAATAATCTGATTCTCCAAATATTGAAATTTAAAATAAAGGTTTGCTTATATATAAGCAATATATTCTTTTAAATTAGAAAGATTTGTTCTGTTATCATCACCAAATTGTAATAAAATTTACTAAAAACTATCAAGCTGTAGCAAATTTTAAAGTGATAAGTGTCGAATGGAAGATCTTTTTATTTAAAGAAATAAAAAAAAAAAATATATATATATAAAAATAAATAAAATAATAACTAATTAAAAATAAAATTTAAATTCAATATTCTCCTAGATACTATAAGGAGCTTTATGATAGGCCAGTTGTAGGAAAGATTTGACCTATTGTCTTTTTTGTATTGGTCAGGCTTAACAAATAGTTTACTCTTTATAAGAATTATCTGTACTAGACTTAGAAGTATCTTAAGATACTAGAAAAGGTGATTAGCAACAGATGTTTTAAGCTATATATAGCTTTTTAAATTTTAATAACATAAAACTAGTACCTGCCAAAGTACTATTCACAAATATAGCTATTATTTTATGTTATTACAAGAAAGAAAATAAAATATACATAATATAAAACTAGTATTTGCCAAAATAACTAATTAAGAAAACCAGCTTTTCATTTTATATTATTATAAGAAAAAGAAAGAAAATTAAATAAAGAAAGATAATTTATAGAAGCAATAAGATAAAGGAATAAAATAAAGAATAGTTTT